CAGGGGGGAGAGGGGCGCGGGAGCGCGCACCCCGGCTGGCTGGCTGGCGGGGAGGGAGCGAGGGGGAGAGCGAACAGCGGGGAGCGAGCGCGGGAGGCCGAGACCAGACAGGGAGCCGGGCTCCTTGCTATCCCTGGCGCTTTCGAATCGCCCAGGACTGCCGCCGCTCGGCGCCCCGCCGGCTCGCGGAGCTGCGAGATTTGGGAAACCAGCAGGCACACTGCTCTTTCTCTCCTCTCTTCTCGCTTTCTCCTCTTCCTTCCATTTTCCTCTTTTTCCTTTACCTTCCTTCCCTCCCTCTCCCAGGTTTACCTTACCAGGGCTTCTCCCCCTGCGATGCCTTAGCGGCATCCCGGGGCAAGCAATGGCAGCGGCGGGCGCAGGTTGGCGAGGGGCCGGGTCGGGCGCGATCGCAGGGTTCTCCGTGGGCCGCGGCGGCGGCAGTGGCGGCGGCGGCTGCGGTGGCGGCGGCGGGCGAGGCAGCTCCGCGCGGGCAGCACCAGAACTGGTCGGTGATTTAGGTAGTTTCCTGTTGTTGGGATCCACCTTTCTCTCGACAGCACGACACTGCCTTCATTACTTCAGTTGAAATCGTCTCCAGGTATCTGTACGCGCGGGGGCCGGGCCGGGCGGGGCATCCAGGCCCTGGCCATGCCAGGCCTGCGGTGGCAACCTCGGCTTTTCCAGCGAAGGAGCCTCGACCCTGCCTCTTTCTCAGCGCTCTGCCAGGCTGCTGGCCTCACCGCCACCCCCACCTGGCCTGGAGCAGGTACGGTCAGGTTAGCTGCTTCTTCGAGGACGCCAGGGGCGTGGTAGGAATTCTGCGCCCCGGGCCATTCAAGGTCAGGGGCGCACGCTTCCATCCTGGGCCTCTCCCGCTCCAGGCATGCTCCTGGCCAGGGCCTCCGTCATACTCCTGCAAGGCTGGGACACCTCCAGCCCCAATCCATGGTACTGGATCAGGAAAGATCCCTTTGACAGTAAGAGGCTTAGGCCAAATTAGGAGGGACCGGGCTGACAGGGGCTGAGATCCTGGCCTTGTCACTTACCCTTCTCTCTGTAAGCCGCCCTCTAATCTAGTTACCTTTGACTCTTTTCTTCCTTCTTTCCTTCACACATTTCTTTTTTCTTTCTTCTTCTCTTCCCTTTATTTTTCTTTCATTTTCTTTCTACCTCCACTCCCTCGCCTCCCCAACTATTCTCTTTGGGAGGGACCCAGGAAAGACCCTGAGCTTTCTTGGGGAGAGCCTGGGAGTGGGGTATTATTTTTCTAAGCGTCTTCAAGTAGAGGTCGGACTCTGCTGAGGAAGGGCTCGAGGGGCGCGGCTGTCCACGGCTGTGGATCTGGGCCTGGTGTGCCGCGGCGCAGACAAGGCCTCGGTTACGATCACGACCGGATGGCGGCGGCCTAGCGTTCCTACTCCGCGGGTCCGCAACGGCAGCCTAGGAGATCTGATTAGGGGGCATTCGCTGCGTTTTTGTGTGCCCACTCTGAGTGCAAAGAGGCTTTCGCCAGCCTCACTGGGGATCTGAGGCTGGGACGTGGGCTGTGACCCAGCCGGGCTCAGTGGAGCCTAGAGAGGCAGGGAACTCTGCTGGGAAGCTTCCTCAGCTCTCTCCGCCTGCCGGTGCAGGCTCCAGCTTTAACCGCGATAAGGGAGCCCCGCTAAGGCAAAGATTGGCTGCTTGCTTGCCAGTATTCTATCAGGTTCAGAGTATGTTAGATATGGTATCCTTGTGGGGACCAATGCTGGAGAAGGGAACCCTTGCACTGCCAGTCTGTTTCAAACAACAGGGGAAAGGAATCCTAAATTCCAGAACTGTTGGAATACAAACTTGAGTCCATGTTTCAAGTTGTAGAACACTGGTTCGAAGCCAGTGAGACCATTCTTACTACTGGGAACTGAAAACAACTTCCATTCTCTCTATCCCCCAACACACGCCTGGTCCTTCAAGCTCAAGCCTACGAAGCAGTGCTTCCTTTCCTAGCTCCAGCAGCCCAGGAACTGTTTTCACTGCTCAGCCTACCTTCCTGTTATCTGAAAGGCCATGCACAGCATTCCCCTCAATTTCTCTCTGCCATTTTCAGGACCTGAGTATTGGATTTGTTTTGGAGATCAAGATTTTTGAACTCTCAGGCTAGAAGAGGAGGTTTGTAATTACACCCATTTATTATTTCTTTATGCACACACAATCCCTTTCACTTCTAAAATAAAACCAGACACAAAAGCCTGAATATTCTCCCCCCAAACTTGTGGGTTGAGTAGGGATAATATTTGGTTTTGTAATTTCCCCCTATTCTAGAGACCATTAAGGACTTTTTAATACTCAACGCCTGTCAATTATTTAGTATCAGTTCTATTTGGGAGGCTAAGGCTATTTAAAGAAAGTCTTTTTATTTTTAAAAATACGAATTGGTGTCTTCTCTAATTACAAAAAGTGGAAAAGACAACCAAGCATGTCCAGCCTGTTTGCAGACAATTTAAAATTAGGGGCGAAGGTTTCTTCCAGGGTTAATTTTTCTTAATGAAAATCTAAACCCCGCAAACTACTAGGTATTTGGGACACTTTGAGGTAGGCAGCAGTGGGAATAGGCGAAAGAATTTACAAGGAAAGGAAAATATTAGGAAGGAGGAGGATGAGGCGGCCAGGACCGGCCACGTCGGAGTTCATTGTGTCCTCCACTTCCCTCTTCCGGCGCGGGCAGAGAAAGGGGCACCCGGTTGGGCTCCGCGAGGCTACGCAGCCTCATTCTCGGGGAGAACCTGGCATTTGAGGGTCCCTGCCTGGGACAGGGATGTATCAGGGTTTGGGGGTGATTACTGGAACTGTTGGGGAGGATGAAGGCAGAAAAGAAGATGGAAGCGACCGAGGCCGCGGGCCTGCTCTCGCCGACAGGGAAGTGGGCTAATGAGAAACACACTCTTGCAGGCAGAGTATTCACACGTGAATTTAATTACCCCGTTTTTTTTTTAGCAGTCGCCTCTTTTTGTTCAGGTTTGGGGTAGGTTTTTCCCTCTGCAATTAACAGACAAGCCAAGGCCTTTTAATTTACTCCTAGAAAGACTCGAAGGGATGAGAAATACCCTCCTCAATTTGGCCAAGCTAAGGAATGGGAGTTAAAGTCAATGGCCCATACCCCTCCCCGTTTTAATTTCTAGCCCTGGACTTGAGCTGCGGGCCATCTTGCTTTGGGCCTTGTAACTCTGCTGAGCCGCTGACCGGGTAGGTAACAGAGGCGGGCCCGGGATAGCGGCCAGGAAGGAAGGAGCCCTGAAAGACTTATACAGGGCCAGCCGCTTGGTCTCTTAGGCTGGGGTGCCTCTTCTCAAGCGGAACTCGCCTTCCATTGATGCTGCCTGTTTCCCCCACCTCGCCCCCGCACCTCAGGTTCAGGGAGTGCGCTGAGGTTTGCACAGCTCGGCGTTAGGGCCTTCGAAGTCGGAGCACAGGGCTGGGGAGCCTGCTGCGTCCGCCAGGGAACAGTGAATCCGGGCTGGCTACGAGCAGGGCGCGCTGGGCGCCCGTGTGCGCGGGGTTGGGACCAAACGTGCGGCACAACCCAGCCCTCAAACCCATCGCCTCAGGGAAGGCTGGCCATTCCCTTCCTGACCCCTTCTTGGTGGGGCCCTCGCTGGGGGCTCAGCGGCGAATCTGGGGGCTGCCGGGGCTCCCTGTGCACCAATCAGGCAGATGCCAGGAGACCATAGTAGGTTGTGCCATCTCGGTGGTCTGTCGCTGCAAAGCGCGCTCCGTTAGAGGCTATGGTGGCTCAGTTTGGAACGGATACTGCGTTGAATTTGACTTTTCTCAGCTGGCTCGGGGTAAACTCGCGTCTCCTGGGACCGCAAGGATTATTTACAGGGAGCTCGCCAACCAAACACAACAGTCTAATTTAACCTTTCCAAGTTCTCATAAATTTTTACAGCTGGGAGTCACGATGAGGCAAACGAATCTGTTGGCCGTTCCCAACTTCCCACCAGCCTGTGTGGCTTCTGAAACAATAACTCCTTATGAAATATCATAAATATAGATTTAAATACAGTAGAGCGAGAATGCGATTTGGCTGCTTTTTTATAGCTTCAATTATTGTCTAATTTTATGTGAGGGGCTCCGCTGGCCGCACTCGCACGCGGGACCCGAGCCTTGCTGATGGCGTGATTAATTGTGATATAAAATAGTCCGCTAAAGAAGTGTGTGTCTGGTGCTGGCGGTGGGAGGGGAGGGAGTACAGAGGCAAGGCCAGATTTGATCTTTTAATCTTCGTTGGCCACAATTAAAACAAACCCGATCGTAGAGCGCCGCGATCCCTTTGCATAAAAACATATGGCTTTTGCTATAAAAATTATGACTGCAAAACACCGGGCCATTAATAGCGTGCGGAGTGATTTACGCGTTATTGTTCTGCTGAGCAGGCACGTGACGCGCGCGGCCAATGGGGGCGCGGGCGCCGGCAACTTATTAGGTGACTGTACTTCCCCCCCTGGTGCCACCAAGTTGTTACATGAAATCTGCAGTTTCATAATTTCCGCGGGTAGGGCCGGGCCGGCCGGACGCGGGGCACGGCGATGGCCACCACCGGGGCCCTTGGCAACTACTACGTGGACTCATTCCTTCTGGGCACCGACGCCGCAGATGAGCTGGGCGCCGGCCGCTACCCGCCGGGAGCCCTGGGTCAGCACCCCCGGCAGGCCACGGGGCTGGCGGAGCACCCCGACTTCAGCCCGTGCAGCTTCCAGTCCAAGACAGCGGTGTTCGGCGCCTCGTGGAACCCAGTGCACGCGGCGGGCGCCAATGCGGTGCCCGCGGCGGTGTATCACCACCATCACCACCACCCCTACGTGCACCCCCAGGCGCCTGTGGCGGCGGCGGCGCCGGACGGCAGGTACATGCGCTCCTGGCTGGAGCCCACGCCCGGTGCGCTCTCCTTCGCGGGCTTGCCCTCCAGCCGGCCTTATGGCATTAAACCTGAACCGCTGTCGGCCAGAAGGGGTGACTGTCCCACGCTTGACACTCACACTTTGTCCCTGACTGACTATGCTTGTGGTTCTCCTCCAGTTGATAGAGAAAAACAGCCCAGCGAAGGCGCCTTCTCCGAAAACAATGCTGAGAATGAGAGCAGCGGAGACAAGCCCCCCATCGATCCCAGTAAGTGTCTCCTCCCTCCAGACCAGCCACCACCTCCACGCCGGCCGCCTGGATCTGCCGGCCCGCCAGCTTTCCCTGGAGCCTGCCTTCGCCCGCCCTGGGAGCCTCCTGAGCAGAGGCCGGGAGCCAGAAGTTGCTGTTTGGGAGGCCTCGGATGGGGCTCCAAGTCCAGAAAGCTGTGACAAGCGGGCCTGCAGGGCACCGGGGGAGGGGAGGCGGCAGCTGCCGAGAGAGGGGGCGGGGCAGGCGCTGCGGGACGAGCCAAGACCCGCTGCCCCTCTCCTTGGCTGTCCCTGACCAAGACAGAGATACTTTGGGCAGTTCTTAGAAAGCAGGACGGCAGAGAAAGTCTTTTGTGCGGCTAGATTGTCCGGGAGTGGCGGCAACAACTGCAGCCTGACCCGGGACGCTGGGGAAGACGGCCGAGTCCCTTCACTTCTTGCCTTCAGCCAGTGGCGGCGTAAATCCTGCCCAAGATGTGGCTGCAGGCGACTGGGACACGAAGGTCCCCATGCCAGATTATTCAAATAAACTGGAGAAGTGAGCAAGGGCCTTGGTGTGCGTAGGGGCGCCAGGCCGGCCTGCCCAGCCCCGCGGCCTTCCATGGAGGTCAAAATAAGGAGTGGGGAGAGTAGAAGGAAAGGTGGGAAAAGGACGACACAGAGAGTCAGTGAGAGGGAGAAAAGAATATTAATCTCGATAAGGAACGCAGGGCAGCGTGGTTTCCCTCTGTGTGGCAAGAAAGAGACCTGTTTTCAAATTTCACTCCTAACACAATGTGCAGAGAGTGGGAGGAAGGAGAGGAGGGGACAGGAGGACAGAGGAGGAGAAAGGAGAGCCTCGGAGGGGAGGGGGGAGCCGAGGTTTTACTGCGTGCAATTGTAAGTGACCGATCCAGCGTCTGTCTGCCAGGGTTCCATTGTGTCCCAGGCTCAACTGCCTTCCCTAACCAATTCAGCAGCGTCCTGCACTTTGGCTGAAGACTCCAGGAGTTTCCCTAGCCCCCAGCAGAGGGGGGTGGGTAGGCTTCTTCTCCTTCTAAATCCCCCATCTGTCTCCCCCACCCATAGGTAACCCGGCTGCCAACTGGCTCCACGCTCGCTCCACGCGGAAGAAGCGCTGCCCCTATACAAAACACCAAACGCTGGAACTGGAGAAGGAATTTCTGTTCAACATGTACCTCACCAGGGACCGCAGGTATGAGGTGGCCCGACTGCTCAATCTCACCGAGAGACAGGTCAAGATCTGGTTCCAGAACCGCAGGATGAAAATGAAGAAAATCAACAAAGACCGAGCAAAAGACGAGTGATGCAACTCGAGTTCATTTAGAAAAGAGAGAGCGAGCTAGAGAGAAAGAGAAAGAACTGCCCGTCCCCTTCTCCTACCCCTACCCCACCCCAGCCTCCACCACCCTGCACAAAGCGGCTTTAAACTCCAGGCCTCATCTCCCCCTGGCAGACCCTGCTCAGGCTGGTTCCTTGGCCTGCCGCTTTGATGGAGGAGGTATTGTAAGCTTTCCATTTTCTATAAGACAGAAAAAAGGCGGGCGGGGGGTGGGGTGGGGTGGCATTAGCGCTGATGGCTGTGTGTGCTAGCTTGTATATATTTTTAAAAATCTACCTGTTCCCGACTTAACACAAACAAAAAAAAACTACCTTTTTATAATGCACAACTGTTGACGGCGGGCTGTATAGTTTTTAGTCTGTGTAGTTAATTTAATTTGCTCTTTGTGCAGCAGAGCAATCTGCCCAAATACTTGAACACTGTGTTTTATTGTGGTAATTATGTTTTGTGACTCAAACTTCTGTGATGGGTGATGCACCCGTTGTGATTGTGAAAGCTAGAATTCGATTTGAACTCAGGTTGTTGGGGGGGGGGGAGTTGCATAGAGTATAGCTCTGTAGTGGAATATGTCTTCTGTATGACTAGGCTGTTAATCTTTGATTG